TTCCTTATCATTTGCCCATTTTGTAATTGGGTTATCAGTCTTTTTCTTGCGGAGGCCAAGGAATAATCTGTAAACTTTTGTTATAAGACTCTTGTCTGAGATGGTATTACCAAATGATTGTTCCTAATCTGTAGATTTTCTTTTCACCCTGTCAGAAAAAAGTTTTTTATATACACATGGTTTTAATCTCTAGAAGGTACACTGTATCAATTTTATCCTCTTCAGATTGTACATTTCTGGTTGTATTTGGCAGTTTCTTTATACCTGGGACTAGCGCTTCAAAGCTTGATACCAGTTTGTCTCTTATGAACATTATGGTTTTGAGCTTTACTCCCAAGTCTCTGGTCCACCTTGAGTTGATTTTTGTATATGGTGTGAGATGTGGATCCTGTTTCAGCTTTCTGCAGGTGGAAATCCAATTTGCCAGTACCATTTGTTGAAGAGGTTATCATTCCCCCATTTGATAGCTTTGATTTCCTTGTCAAATATTAGTTGACAATAGATAGCTGGGCCTATTTATGAGTTCTAAGTTCTGTTCCATTTGTCTATATGCCTGTAATTGTACCAGTACCATGCTGTTTTGGTTAATACTGCTTGCTGTGTAGTAGGTTTTGAGGTGAGGGAGTGCTATGCCTCCAACCTCATTTTTGTTTCTCAGAAGTGTTTTGCTTATTCAGAGTCTCTTGCCTCTCCAAATAAATTTGATAATTTCCCTTTCAGTCTCATTGAAAAATGAATTTGGTATCTGGATTGGAATTGCACTACTGATCATGTAGATTGCTTTTGGTAGGATTGTCGTTTTCACCATATTGAGTCTTCCTATCTGTGAACAGGGCACATTTTCCACCAAGAGATCTTTGGGAGAAAGAGCTACAGCTTTAAAACCCTATGGGGCAGTTTTACTCTATTCTAAAGTGGCTGACTCTGAGAAGAATGGGAATCCCAGAACATTTAATCGTGCTAATGCGAAACCTATACTTGGACCAAGAGGCAGTTGTCAGAACAGAGCGGGGTAACACTGCATGGTTCAAAATTGGGAAGGGTGTACGCCAGGGATGTGTCCTATCTCCATACCTTTTCAACATGTATGCAGAGCAGATTATCTGAGAGGCTGGGCTCTATGAGGAGAAGCGTGGCGTCAGGATTGGTGGAAGATCTATTAACAATCTGTGTTATGCAGATGATGCAACCCTGCTTACTGAAACTGAGGAGAACCTCATGCACTTGCTGCAGAGGGTCAAGGACTGCAGCCTTCAGTATGGACTGAGGCTCAATGTCAAGAAGACAAAGATTCTCACCACTGGACCAATTGGCAGCGTAGGATGGATGGCGAAGAGATTGAGATTGTTCACAGCTTCAGTTTGCTTGGCTCCACGGTCAACACTCTTGGCACCAGCAGCCAGGAAATTAAAAAAAAATGTATTGCGATGGGAAAGTCTGTTGTTAGGGACCTCTCTAAAGTACTCAAGGACAACGGTGCCTCTCTGGAGACTAAGGTGTGCCTGATACAAGCCATGGTCTTTGCAATCACTTGGACAATGACTAGGGAGGACAGAAGGAGAATTGATGCCTTTTAGCTGTGGTGCTGGAGAAGAGTATTGAATGTACCATGGACTGCCAGGAAAACAAACAGATTCAGCCTGGAGAGGGTTAAACCAGGCTGCTCCTTGGAGGCAAGGATACTTTGGGCATGTTGCAAAGAGGGACAGATCCTTGGTGAGCGACATCATGCTTGGGAGGGTGGAGGGTCGGCGCAAGAGGGGCAGACCCTCTATGAGATGGATTGATTCAGTGACTGGGGTAATCGGGATATGTGTGTCAGAGGAAGAGCAATTGGCACAGGATAGATAGAGCAGGGTTTAGGGCTGTTGTACATAGGGTCACTATGAGTCATAAATGACTCGACGGCACATAACAACAACAACAACAAAGGGTGGCTGTAAGTCAGAGTGCACTCAATGGCAATAGGTTATGAGAGTTTACATTTAGTCATTTAAAAAATTGTCAAGCTGTCTCCCAAAGTGGCTTCACCACTTTGCTCACAAGCAGTATTATAAAGTTTCCAATTTCTCCATATCATCATTACCATGTATTACAGTCTCCTGAAGTACAGCCATAAGAGAGGAAGGCAGCTCTGGTGGCCTAGTCTGAAGGGAATTGTGCAGCTAGCCTAAAGGCTATGATTTTGACCTGTGGTGTTGGTGAAGAAAAGTGAATATACCATGGACTGTCAAAGAAACAAATTTGTCTTGGGAAAAGTGCAGGCAGGATGCTTCTTAGAGGCAAGGATGGTGAGAAATCATCTCACATACTTGGAGCATTTTAACAGAGGGGACCAATTCCTGGAGAAGAATATCATCTTTGGTACAGCAGAAGGTCATTAAAGAGAATAAGACTCTCAACAAGATGAACTGACATAAGAATGGTCTCAAGCAGAGCAGTGACCGTGAATCTGGCACAGGACTGGGCTATATTTTCCTTTTGTTGCACATACCAACTCGATAACACCCAATAACATCACAACTATAGCTACTTCTGCAGAAAGATTTCATTTTGTACCCCCACCCCATTCTCTGCAAATATATTGCTCTCTGAGCTTTCAGCATTTCAGTGAATTGAAATGTCATTTCTTTATTTAAACAAGTGGTTCTCAAATCACAGACACACACACACACCCCGAAGGGGCTATTTGTCAACCCCTCGGGATATGTTTTATTGTTCCACATTTAGGGTTAAGAGCATATAATTAAGGTGCTCAAATGGCTCAATGTGTACCTGTTAGGTTGCTAACTAAGAGGTCAGTGTTTCAAATCTACCAACCATTCATATGGCAAAAAATGAGCCATCTCTTTCTGTGAAGATATATAACTTAGAAAATCTGATATATAACTTAGGAGGATGGTTATTTGTCTAAGTCAACTAAATCTAAATCAAAGGCGCTAAGTGTGCTGTTGGCATCTATTGAGGAACTCTATCACGGATGCTAAGCATCTTATAATAATATATAGGACACTCAAGAGACCAAGGTGTCCCTGATATAGGCCACGGTTTTTACATTTACTTGCTATGCGTCAGAGAGCTGGACAATGATCAAAGAATAATTGATGCCTTTGAGTTGTGGTGCTGGAGAAGAATATTGAATATACATATCATGGACCACCAAGAGAATTAACTGGTTTGTCCTGGAGAGGGGAAAACTAAGCTGATCCTTGAAGACAAGGATTTTGAAACTGTGTCTCACATATTTTAGGCATGTTGCCAGGAGGGACCAGTCTTTAGAGAAGGACACCATGCTTAGAAAGGTGGAGGGATAGCACAGGAGGGGAAAACGTCTAGTGAGATGGATTGAAATGGTAACTGGGGTAAAGAGGGTAGAGATGTGTCAGAGACAGTGAGATTGGCTCAGGATAGAGCTGAGTTCCGAACTGTTATGCATAGGGTCGCTATGAGTCAGAGTCAACTAGGCCCACATTAAAAAACAACATTGTAACAAAGAATTATCTGGCACAAAATGCTAAAATTTATGCCCTTAAGAAACTCCTTTCTTTCAAATCACAAACTTTTTGAGCATTATGTGATTATTCTTCTCTCTCTACCTCCACTTTCTTTTTTTTCTTTTACCCTCCTAAATTCCTTCCAGTTATTCTCATTTCTATTAATCCTTAAATGTTACATCCTCCTGCCTTCTGCACTCTATCCTTGAGTGGAAGTGACCATTTATATTCTATGTCATTGGTTATTCTAGAAAGTGAGCTCCACCCTATTGATGCTGGTCACCTTCGAGACTTCTCTGTTATATGAAAATTGAGGCACAGGAGTGAGTCTTATGATTCCAAGAGTGGCTAAAAGTCCTAGTCTTAGGAGTTCAACCAGCTTTTTGGCCATTTTTATGGTTTTCGTTTGTTTGTTTTGTCCCACTTTTTACACCCCCTCTTTCCAGGACCTTCTACTGTTATCTCTAGAGTTATTGTATCTCTACTGTTGTGTTCATCAACTTAATCTGGTCTCAGGGTGGTTAGTGGAAGCTAAGGTTTGAGGGGTCCTTTGAGTAATTTTTTCCCCTCTTCTTCGTTCTGGACAGGAAGAGACCAACAGTTGCAGCTTACATGGCTGCTTGAAAGTTTTTAAGAACCTAGGCATCACTCACCAACAGAGAATGAAGAACATTGTCTTCTTGGACTATGTTATGTCAACCAACTGTCAAGTTTCCCGAGTGCCCTAAAAGCTTCTATCAACTTTTACAGAAGCCCACTGTTAGAGCTTCGCTTGAGAATCACTGGCAGGGTTGGATCCCCAGTCCTTCTCCATTGGCAGAGCTTGACTGGCGACCTTTAGGTTAGCGGGTTTAATAGCTATGCAGACAGAGCTCCTGTGTAGACACCAAGACAACTCTACAGACAGAAATCAAAAGGCAGATGTGCTTCAAAGTGGTACTTAAGACAGGGAGCACGGTCGATTTGAGAAATTTAGAGTGCTAAGTCTGAGCTCTAAATTGTCTTCCTGAGTCCACCTTGTTTTTTCAACTTTACAAAATTACTTAAGGGACCTTGAGGGCGTTTCTCTCTAATAGAACTAAGAGCGGAAAAACAAGAAAGATGAGTTCCTGAAGTTCCTGAAGGCAGATATTCAGACGTTTCTGGAAAGAATGGAGAGGATTAAAGGGGAGAAGCAGGAAAGTTGAGGCATAGTTTGGGCCCCCTGGAGCCTTAGAAAGGGAAAGGGAGAACACACACAGAAGGCTGCTTGAGGATGAGGAGGCGGAGGACGCCCTCTCCACCCGCCCTGGTGGGATCCGTTAATGAGCGCGCGCCCTCAAGCTCTCGGAGAAGCCTGTGGTCAGGTTTCCGCTTAACCGTCACTGCACAGTGAATGGTGACAACCGTCCAGCAACTATGCGGCTCACAGCCAGCTTTTCTGTCGTCCCTATCTCTTGACCAGCCCTCCCCACGACTCTCCCAGAACCCTGAGCCTGGGAGGTGGTCAGCCCCCCCTCTGCTTACTGGTTTGACTCAGCTTGGAGATGCAGAAGCAGGAGAAGGTGAACAGCAAGACCGCAACAAGCGCCATCAGCAAATTGAGTTGCTTGCTCTTCATGGCTGGAGTCTGGCGCAGGAGCAAGCGGAGCTGAGGACCGAAGTGTGAGCCCCTGAGCCCCTGGGCGTGTGCTCTTGCAAGGCTTGCCCCACGCTAACAGCACGCAAGCACCGCACCCTCCGACTGAGAACCCCCTCTGCGCAGAACGTCTGCAGCCCCTGCATTCTGTCCTACGGTTCAGCGGCCAATTCATAGGGCTGCAGGTAGTAAAAAGTGATCTATTTGGAGGGAAAAGCCACAAGCACTCATGGCTGTCCAGTGGGAATTGACTCAGAGCTGACTCTCCAGCAGATTTCCGAGGTTGTAAATTACATGGGAGGAAAGTGCTCATCGAATTTATCCACAGAGCTCCCTGGTGGATTTCAACTTCCAGGCCGGCATAGCTTTTGGTTCAGCCGTGCAAATCCGTGTCGGCTAGGCCACCAGAACTCCCTCTGTATTAGTGGATCCCTTTTGTGCCAGACTCTGCACTAATGCTTCTATAGTATCTTATTTAGTCCTTACAACTTCCGTATGAGGTAGATGCTTTTATTGTTTTTCCTTGTGTAAATGAAGAGCCCAGCTACAATGAAATCCAGAAATTTGGTAAGGCCACAAAAATAGGAGTCGTTCCTCCACAAACGTCTGTAGATAAAGTGTTTCTGAAGATGGTTTCCAATGTTATACTTGGAGATTATTAGCCTTAATTGTCACTAACAAATGACCATTTGACCTCAAGCTATCATCTATATTTTTGTGGAGAAGGTGGCCAACTTCCAACTTTCAACTCAATTTACATATCTTTTTTTAAAAATTGATTGGTTCCCCCCCCCCCCATAAATGGAGAAAATAAATGAGTAGAGGTTTTGGTGAAGGAAAGGAAAACCAATGTATAGTGAGTTGCAGCCCAAGGAACTGTAGTTAGGCTTTAACTGTAGCTTTGGTCTAAGTATCAACTTGCCATAACTCTCCTCAAGGCTGGGAAACAGTAGGAGAACATCAACAGGGTTGATAAATTGAACTGTGGGTTTTCTATCTGGTTCCTCCACTTTGCTACTCAAACAAAACCACTGTCATTGAGTCAATCAATTCTAACTCATGGTGACCCTCTGTCAGATTTCCAAGGTCAGGCATCTTTACCAGAGGATACTACCCATCTTTGTCCCAGTCAGTAATTGGTGGATTCGAACCACTCACCTTTCAGTTGGGTCACCAGAGCTCTCTTGCTAGTTCTTATTTGTGACTCTCCAGCAGCTCCTCTATGATTTGCTGCCTCTGAAAATCTGCCAGAGGGTCAGCTATGAGTCAGTTTCCTCTCGACAATGCACGACAAGAGCAGAATATGATTCTAAAATTTCAGCTTCAAGCCTGCAATGACTGGGGCTGCTTTCTGGCCCTTGGGATAGGAGAGATATTTGAACATGATGCTCTGTGCCACAAATGAAAGACTAAGTCTTTTCAGGTGAGTGGAAAAAGCTGAGGGACGTGAAGGAGGCTAGGTAGATGTGGGGGTGCTGTGAAGAACGGAATGCGCCTTGGAACCCCACTGATCCTGCACACTGCATATAGAGATCTTCAAAATCACTGGGGTGAAATAATCAACAAAAGAAAAGCTGCTTTCCCTTAAAAAACAACAACAACAAAACAAAACAAAAAACCAGCAAACAAACCACACACCAAAAACACAAAACCCTAAAGAAGTAAAATCCACCTTATAGAACCAAGGATAGTTATATAATCTGATTTGGCTGAAAGGATGTTAAATGAGGCATTTTTGTATTTCATGTAATCTTGAGTTCTAGTTTCACATTTTAATTGCCTATTGAAGACTTCAAACACAAGATGCCTGAACTTTCTCCTCAAGTCTGTTATCTTTCCAGCACCTCAGTTCAACCAATAGTTCATCTGATCAGTCTAACCTTTTTTCATTCTATCCTACAATTTTAAAAATCTTTACTTTCCTTCTCTGAAACGTTTCCTTTCCAGACTTTTATCGGTGTTGCTGTCTCCTACGCCTCCACCCAGCTCACTGCATTGCTATCCATACTAATCTCACCGCCTGTCATCTCCGCAGTCCACTTGTCACACCAGTACCAGACAATCTTCCTCCTTCATCACTGTCAGCTGTCTCTCTCCTGTGATAAACTCTACTCTTCCTAGGAGATGAAGCTCTACTCCATCAGGCATCTCTCCTTTTTTCAAGACTATCTTCCAATACTTGCTTACATGCATGTCTCTGAGCCCTATCAGACTCTTCTTCCTTCTATCTTGAACATGTCATCTTCACACCTACATTCTGTGGTTTTCTTCTTGCTATCTACCTTCTGCCTCTCCTCCCTGCACATTAAAATCTTTCCATGTCTTAAGGTCTTGGTCAAGTTGATCTGTTTCTGGAGTCAAACTCTGGATACTGCAGACAACTCTTGCTTCTCAGTCTCTGAATTTGTTTGTTTACAAGATCTCTACTTTTCATGTTGATACATATTTTTCTGTATGTAGAAGGGGCCTATATGAAACTGAGTTATCCCTAAGTTTGAGACAGAAATTTATTCAAAGCAGACTTAATGGTTGGTAAATGTTTTGAGAACTTCACTTACACATGCTAATGTCTGAGAAGGAATATTTGACATGGACAGATGCCTGTAAAAAGAGCACCCTTTATGCCTGTCACGTGGGAGAGAGATGCTAGGTGTGAGCAGAGGCTGCAGGGACTGTTTCATATCAAAGAGGGAAAGATTGAGATGAAAAACCTAATCACTCAAAATAAATGACAAATGAGCTTACAAACATAAATTATGAGTGAGATTAGTTCAACAAGTGAGAACATCACCATCACCATCTACATAAACAGTGAGGTTTTCTCCTTTTTAAAAAATGGAATTGCTTACAAAGTTGGTATATATTGTGTTTGACACTATGCTTCACCCACATTGTATTTCATACAATCATTCTCATGCATTATATATTCTATTCTATAAAAATAAGCACCATTGAGCCTTGCCCATCATGACCTTGTCTTTTCACCCGGATCCTTCCATTTCCTTTCCCTCTCTCCCTCCATGCAGTTATGTGCTGCTAAGTCATAAGTGACTCATAGCTGACCCTGCAGCAGGCTATCGGAGGCTGTAAATCACACAGAAAGAGACTCACCATCTTTCTTCTGCAGAGCAGCTAGTGGATTTGAATCATGTGCACAGCTGCTTACCTTACGTAAGTGTACATACATGTGGAGTTAAAAGAGGACTGTGACCAAGTGGATGAGCAAAGACATGTTTAACTAATAAACAGAGTCTTTAGACCATTTAACCATTCTGACTCAGGAAATCCTACAGATGAACTGATAATGGCTTTGATAACAGGAACACACCTGCAAAGCCTAGAACAAAAGCCTTGTTAATGATACTCTGAGTAAACATTAGGAGCATGTCCCTTGCAAATCCACTGGTAACTGTTTATCCTAAGAGAATGCTTTTGAGAAAATGTTTTACTCCCTGCTCTATTTGCTACTATATGTTTTATGGCATACTGTTAATCATGTGAAGATTTTGCTTAAAAACTTAAAAGCTTAGCTGGTAGTTAATAAAGTCAATTAAAAGTCTTGAAATTTTTGTCCCTTGCTCCCCAACTATTTTGTGTCTATCTCTTATCAGGTCTCTCTGATCCCTCACTTTCTAACCTGTTGTAAAGTTGGACTCTATACATAAAGTTATACCTCTGTGTGTGTGTGTTTCTATAAACCTTTATATATGACGGTATATATAAACATACATATGTTACTGTCATTTATAAAGTCATCATCATCAGGGTAGGATCAACTCGTGACTGATCCTCTAGTAGGTTTTCAGAAGCTACAGATTACTTAGGAGGAGATTGTCCACCTTTTTTTTTGCAGAGCAGCTGATACATTCAAACCAACCATCTTTGTGTTGGTAACACACAAGCACGAGTGAGGACGCGCGCGCACACACACAAAAACCCATAAATATATAATTAAAAGACATGTTGCATTTGGGAAAAATCTGCTGTTAAAGACCTTTCCAGAGTGCTAACAAAGAAATATGTCAGTTTAAGGGAGCTTTGGTGGCCTAGTAGCAAGAAGCTGTGCTGCAATCCCAAAGCCATGCTGTTCAAAACCACCAGATGCTCCGCTGGAGAAGGAGGGGCAATCTTCTCCTGTACCAGTCAGATCCTATTCGATGCTACACACTCATCACTCATCATCATCATCAATAAAGATATATGTCAGTTTAAAGGCAGGTGAACCTGATCCAAGCCATGATATGTTCCATTGCTTCCTATGCATCTCATCTGAAAATTGGACATAACAAATAAGCATAACAGAGGAAGAATTAAAGGCTTTGAATTGTGGTGTTGGAGAAGAATAATGAATGTCTCATGGACAGCCAAGAGAACAGCAGATCTATCCTGGAAAACATGAAACAAGGATGATGACATTTTGTCCCTCATACATTGGGAATGTTGTCAGGAGGAGCTAATCCTTGGAAAAGAGAAATCATGCTGGGAAAGGAGGAGGTTCAAAGAAAGAGAGGAAAACCCTCAACAAGACAGATTGCCATAGTGACTAAAAATTGGCGCAAGCATATCAGAGATTGTGAGGATGGGGCAGAATAGGACTAAGTTAAGATTATTCGTAGAGTTACTGAGAGTCACAATTCAATGGCACCTGACTATAAACAATATTTATAAACATATATATCAATAGGTTTTTGTTGTTGAGTACTGTAGAGTCATAAGGAACCCATAGCTGACCCTCCAGAGGGTTTTCAGAGGCAGTTAATTGCACGGGAGGAGATTGTCCATCCTTCTCCCACAGAGTAGGTAGTGGCCTCGAACCACGTGCCTTTGGGATTGCAGCGCAGCTTCTTGCCCCTTGGCCACCAGAGCTTCCTATAAATAAATATATATAACTAAATATATTTACACAATGAATGACCTTCATTTGTGGATGTAGCAAGACTTAAAATGAGGGTAAATAGCTGCAAATATTCAATAATAATTGG